TAGTTCTAATCGAAATGTACTGTGTCTCCTAAAAGGGATTTCCGCCCCCTCTCTTTACATTTTTTTCCATTGACGAAACATTTTTTTTTCTAAACAATTGAAAACTATTTTTGTTTTGTTTTATTATTAGGAATAAATATTGTGAATAAAATTATTTTATGAGAAAGTATTATATTTTTTCAAAAAATCAAATTTTTTTATATCATATTTTGATAGTATCATATTTTTCATATTAATTTTATAATAATTATAATATTATTAAAATTGTACCTAATAATTATAATTAAAATAATATTAAAAAACATTTTTTTATGTTTTTTTATTTTATGTAGTTGTATATTATGAAAGACATTATTTTATAAAAAATTACAAGAATACTTTTTTCTATAACAGTATTTTTCATAACATATTTTTTTATAAGAAGTTATATTTTTTTAAAAGAAGAAAATTATTATTAAGTCCCTTTTACAATAAATGAAATGAAATAAAATATTTATTTATGTTTTATATTTAATAAAGAACAATATATTCTGAGAAATATTATTTTGTGAAAAAAAATATTACATAATATTAGGTATAATTAATATTATCATCATTATAGAATATTCTACAATATGTAGAAAAAATATTAAATATTATTATTATTAATATAAATAATAATTTGGAAAATTATGATATTAAAAAATATATTATAAAAAATATTACTTGCTGAAAAAGTTTTATAACACATTTTTTCATAAAATAATATTTTTCATAATATAACGTTATTTCTAAAATTATAAATATAAATAAATGTTTCGTTATTAAAAATAGATTATGAAAAAATAATATATTTGAAGAAATTAATAATAATTATAACAAAATTATTTAGTATTCTATTGTTAAGGAAAAGGATAAAATAGGAAAGTTCTCTATAAGAATAAAAATTTTCGAAAACTTATATTTTTTAAATTAAAAGAATTTTTAATAAACTTTACAATGTATTTATTTATTCAAATGGTAAATAGGAAGGTGAATTTAATATATTTAATTATTATTTATTTTACTATTTATTTTACTTTTATTTTAATATTTAATAATTAAATGTCAAAGTTAAAAATAACTTCTTATAGTAACGAATAATAACCATTTGAAACAAAATATATAATGTTTTTTTTGTCATTTATTTTCAAATACATCTTTTTTCGAAAAATACGTTCCCAATTTTTTTCACCAAGAAATAAAAGAAAATAGGGTGAATGAAAAAAACTTCTCTTTTTGCTACACAACCCCCCCCCCTTATATATAGTCTAGAGATTATAAATGAGACTATTTCTACATAATATAAAAATTGACAGAGACTCTATTTTGAATAAGTAGAAAATTTCCTTTTCATTATATATAACGTATTATATAGACCTATGTATAATAAATATTGATTGATCTTTTATACTGAATTTTTTTCTTCTTGCGTGAAGAAGTGAAATTTTCTTTTTCCATTAAATTGAATTTCGACTGATGTCATATTTTTTGTTTTGAAGATTTTCATTTTTCACGCACATTTTTCATATTTCACATACAGTGAACTCAGTAGTAATCACATTCATGTAGAGTATTTTTATTATTAATATCTATATATTTGTACATATAAATGTATTTTTAGAGAAAGAAAAAAAATAGTGTGACAAAGTAAAAAAAAAAAAAAAAAAAAAAAAAAAAAAAAAAAAAAATTGGGGAATGCTATAGAGAAAATAGTGGATAATCCACTAAATGTACTTGTCAAAAGAAACTTTTCGAATTAAAACTTTCGATTTGACGAGAGGAAAGTTTTTTTGTAGTGTTTTTAGAAATTTTAGCAAAAAAGAGTAACTTTTTTTAGAGGATAAACGTAAGGGTGTTCTGTTGGAATTTTTTTCCTTTAAATGTCAATGTTTTATAAGAAAAAACAATAATTAATAAAAGTAAATTGATAAATTTAATAAAATTAATTTTTTAAGTTAATAATTCTATTAATAACTTGTACATGAATTCTACTAAATTTTAATGATTTTTAAATAGAAAGAATATAAATTTCGTGAAATAATTTTTTTAACATTATATTCAAGTACGTAAAGGTCAGTTTTTTTTTTTAAAAAAGGTCCGTAATTTGATTAAAAAAGGACAAAAAGTTCGTAAATTGTACGATATAATTTGGAAAATTTTAGAGAAATTACAAATAATTGCAAAATTTAATTATTTTCAAAAGTAATAAAATTCTTAGCAAAAATTCAATTCTGTTTAAAAATTTTTAAAAATTCTTGTCAAAATTTCAATTATCTTTATAAATAATAAAATTCTTCTTCAAAATTCAATTATTTTCAAAAATTCTAATAAAATTCTCGGCAAAATTTCAATTATTTTCAAAAATTTGCGTCAATTAAATGATTTTAAATATCTATTATTTTCTAAAAATAATAAAAATTTCACAGACATTCAATTATTTACAAATTTTTTATAAATTTCTTTGCAATATAATTAAATTTTTTTTCTAAATAATAACATTTTTACAGGGATTCAATTATTGTTCTAAATAATAAAATTCTTTTTAGGAATTTAATTATTTTCATAAATAGTAAAACTCATCGCAGAATTTTAATTATTTTTAATGAAATTTTAATCAAATTCCTCGATAAATGTAATTATTATTAAAATTTTTTATTAAAAATCGCCAAACGAATTCGATTATTTAAAAATATTTTGATAAAATTCTTTATCAGAATTCAATTTTAAGAAACATTCAAATTTTATGAAAAAAAATTGATTTAAAAAAAAATTTCAGTTAAAAATGAAATGAATTTGAAAATTCTCAAAAAACTATTTTAAAAATTAATAAAAATAATGTATTAATAGAAAAATTTTAGTTAACGCTTAAAACAAATTTAATTTTGGAGAAATTACAAATTCTTCTCCAAAATTCAATTATTTTCGAAAATTTTAATAAAATACTTGACAAAATTTCAATTATTTTCAAAAATTTACCTCAATATGTTTTTGAATATATGTATTATTTTCCATAAAATAATAAAAAATTTCGCAGAAGTTCAATTATTTTCAAATTTTTTATAAATTTCTTCGCAATATAATTCAATTTTTTTTCTAAATAATAACATTTTTACAGGGATTCAATTATTTTTCTAAATAATAAAATTCTTTTGAGGAATTTAATTATTTTCACTAAATAGTAAAACTCATCGCAGAATTTCAATTATTTTTAACAAAAATTTTAATCAAATTCCTCGATGAATGTAATTATTATTAAAAGTTTTTATTAAAAATCGTCAAACGAATTCAATTATTTTAAAATTTCTTGATAAAATTCTTTATGAGAATTCGATTTTAAAGAAACATTCAAAAATGCAATAAATTATTTTTTATATTTAAATTATTGAATTCTAGTAAAATTTTATAAAAAAAATTGATTTAAAAATTTTAAGAAACATTCAATTGATCAATAACTTATTTATTTTTGTATTTAAATAATTGAATTCTTGTTGAATTTTCTAATAAAAATTATTTAAAAATGAATTTCAGTTAAATTTTAGATAATAATTGAATATTAAAAACAATATAGCGTGAATTTTTGGAAATAATTGAATTTTAAAATGAATTTTTTCAAAAAAGTGTAATTGAATTCTTTTAAATTATTTGAAGTTTTTATTTTCTAATATATAATTGAAGAATTTACGAGTAATTGAAATTTTATAAAATTGAATATTGTACATAAATGGATTTTGAAAATTATAGAAGAACTTTTTTGAAAACTAATTGATTTAAGGGAATTTGAACCATTATGACGTCACAAATTTAGATCAAAGGCTTTAAACTAATTGTGACGTCATAATGGTTCAAATGCCCTTAAAGATAAATTTTACTGAAGAATTCTTAAAAATAATAATTGAATTGAAATTATAAAAATAATTTTAATTATTTTTAATAATATTATTTCACGAATTTAAATTCTGTTTAATTAAAATTCACTGAAATTTAGTAGAATTCATGTAGAAATTTGTATAGAATCTTTTTAGTGAAATTCTTGAGAATTTTACTAAAATTTCTATAGAATGATTCTAGTGAAATTCTATAGAACTTTTACAGCTGGGAAATATTTCTTTGGTACAAAATAAATATTTATTTAGTAGCAGTAAATATTTCTTTGGTAGAAATAAATATTTATTTGCTTCAATATTTATTTATTTAAATATGTATTTATGTAAATAGATATTTATTTAAATAGTTAATTATTTAAATATGTATTTATGTAAATAGCTATTTATTTAAATAGTTAATTATTTAAATATTTATTTATTTAAATAGTTATTTATTTAAATAGTTATTTATTTAAATATTTCTTTGGTAGAATTATATATTTATTTGACTCAAGTAAATATTTAATAATACACCGAGAAAAAAGATTGTTACGTTAACAAAAAGATTGTTAAGTATAGAACTAACAGATTTATTTGGCTGACTTAACAATTCAAATTTTTTCCAATAACAATAAATCTGTTGAGGTAAGAAAAAATTTTGTAGTAACAATAAACGAAATTTGTTATTTCTATATTAACAATTCTTTTTTATCTGTGTAGATAAATAATTTTTTATTTGAATCAAATAAATTTCTTTTCAGTGTTCAATAAATTCAACTTTGAAATTACTAAATAATTATTAGAATTAAATAATTGTTAATTACAAAAATAATATAATGCAAAATAATGAAAATAATTTTTGAAATATTTTTTGTCTTGGTCCATAAATGCACCAATTTTGGATGACACTAACGAAAGAGAATGTAATTAGAGTTAATGTCACGTATATATATATCCTAAAGCAGTAACACCCTTACGATACAAAGCACAAGGGTTTCTAGTTGATTTTGGGTGAAATTGTTAATTATTGAAATTGAAGTAGGATTAGGAGAGTTTAGTATAGGCGATGAGCCTAGCGTGCAACAATGTAGTGTGTGCTTGTGATGTGGATTTCAGCAGGCGTACTCACAGTACATCCCGGCAACAAGGGCCCAAGTCACTGAGGGTCAGGGGGGTCAGACAGGGGTGGACGGCACCTATCTCGTCGAGGCCTCATTTTGAAAAAAAAAATAACAAAATAAATTGTGCAATCGAATAATAACTGAGTCAGAAAAATAAAACAAAACTAAAAAAAAAAATCTAGAGAGAATCTGTGTTTAAAAAAAAAACTAAATAAAAAAACTAAAACTCTTAGAAAAATAATAATAAACAGAATACAGAGAGAGCCTCGTAGAAACGGATTAAGAAATTAAAAAAAAAACCCGATGCGAGGCAAAGAGAAAAAAAAGTCGTAAAAAAAAATATTTACACACACGTCTCGAAATGCACTATATAGCTTCTAAGAGAATAAAAAAATAAAAATAAAAATACTACCTGAAGTCACACACAATCAATGAAATTCTTCTATTTGCCTATTTCCGTGCCCATCGCTGATGATGATGATGATGATGTTCCACCAATGGGATATGTGACATCTGTGACCATCGTTCCGTCAACAATGTCAACAACTGCCCGTCGTCTTCATTTTAATGGCCCCGTTTGGACTATGGATTCGTGTTCAAATTCATTGACCCACATCTTAAAATACCAAAAATAAACAAACTCGACAAATTTTGGTTCTATTTTTCCAAAAAACAAAAAAAAAATAATAATAATGGAACCTTGTATTAAAAAAACAACACTAAATGTTGGCGAAATTTTTTTCCCTGGAAATCTGTAAATGAAAATGGAAAAATAAAAAAATACAAATTTTTCTTCGATGATCTACATTGCAGAGCTTATCGTATCAGCTCACATCGAATGAGAACAAGGATAGGGTGGTGCTCGTATACGGCGATCGTATACAAGTCAGGACAAAGGTAAAGGAATATGAAAGAATTTTTTTTTTCTTTGGGGCAAATATTTTTTATTCCAAGAGAGAGAGGGGAAAAAAAATTGACAATGTGGATGTGCTTATGTTTCTCTTTATATATAAAAATGCCAGTTTAGTATTTGATGTGAAGGGTATTTTATTTTTTTTATATATGGTCCATTAAATTAGTTTTATTCGACAGTTACGGTCGATTTTTATTGTTTTCAATTTGTTGATTTTTTTATATCTTTTTTTTTTTTTTTGAAAAAGTAAAATGAAGAAAAGGGGTTTGATTGGAAAAAAAACGTTTTTTTAATGGACGGAAAGTAATACGGAACAAATTGAAAAAAGTTTTTCTAACGATTGACAATTAAGGTTTTTAATTTACTGTAAATAAATATTTTTTATTGTTTTTTTTGTATCTATGCAAATATAAAAATGCTACTGAATTATTATTAGAATATTCAACATTAAATTCACTGTATATTTTATTTAAAAAATATTAAAATAACTATTTTTAATTTTGTCTGACTGGAACTGCCTTTCACTACTGAAAATAAAACTACTGAAATTACATGTCTGACTATTATTGTCTTCTACTACTGATTTTTATTAATGCTTAAAAACTGTCTGACTAAATTGATTTTTACTACTTGGTATTGGAATCAAAGGACTCGTCTGACTAAAACTGTCGTATACTACTAGAGTTAAAAATTTTAAAAAGTAAAAATAATCTCACTGGGAATTGGAAACTTCTCCGTTTACCTTTTTTTTTTTGTCTGACTAAATTATTTAATACTACTGCCATCAACATCACTGAAATTTTGAAAAATTTTATCCGTGCTATGAAAATTAGAACGAAGCTGATTGATTGACTCTTACTACTGAATTTGATTCTTGTACATTTGGCTGACTAAAAATAGCCTTTACCACTGAATTAAACTTTTTTTTCCATATTGATTAATAGCCAAAAGTGTAATTATCACTATTTTTTTGTTTTTTAAATTTTATTTGTCGCAAAGTCTTCTACAATTAAATAAATAAAAGAAATAATGAAAATGACAGAAAAGAAATAATTATTTACAAATTTTTAATTATCTTACGAATATTAATAAATTGTATATATAAATATTTATCTCATAAATATAAATTGATAATTGAATTCATTTTAATAACAAAAATTTATCTAAAAAAAATAATAATTTCCTATAATTAAAAATCTACAATTAAAAAAATTAAATATTCGTTAATTAATTTTCTTTTTTTTTGAAAAGAGGATAATTCTCTTGCGAATAAATATTAAGTTTATTAAAAATTCCATCTAATAATAATAGAAAAAAAAACCATTAAATGATTATATATCACAAAAGCAGAGATTAATTAAGTTTTTGTACTGGTATTTTTATATTGATTTCCCTCATTCACATTGTTGAGTATATTATATATAGAACCGGAATACATTTTTTCTTCTCTCTTCTCTCCAATCGAAATATGATTGACGATGGAAAAAAAGTATTTTGACAGAATTTAAATTAACTCTCTTGGTGGGGGGGGAGGGAATTTGAAGGCACACACACACACTGAATAGGAAATTAAAATTAATAAAATATTAAAGAGAAAATGAAAATAGAAAAAAAGAGAAACAACAAAGGAACGCTGATGCGTATCGTTGCTGTCTCATTTTTCGCGATTATAGCGGAGAAAAAAAATTCACTCTATAATATCGCTTTCGCCTGGCTTTTTCTGCGAGTTTAGTATTCTTCTAAGCCTTCTATATTTTTTGCACAAATTCTTTCAAGCTGGCTCAAGTTTTCTTCTTGGAAACTTTTGATTTCTTTTTTGTTTCTTTTCTTTTTTTTCCAGAGGTTTGAATAAATAAAATTAACTAATTCTCTTAATATTTCACGAAAAATTTTTTTTCTACCTAAAATAGTTACGAATTTCACTAAATTAGTTAACTTTTTAGTTCTTTCAATTAAACCTTTCGCTATGCTAGAGAAACTTTTCGCTGTTCGAGGTAAAACTTTTTTCCCGTGTTTTCTATTTTGAGTAATTTTAATATTTTGTGTAATAAATAAAATAAATGAAATTAATTAAAGTAAATAAACTAAATAAAGTAAATAAAATAAATAAAATAATTAAAATTAATTAAAGTAATTGAAATTAGTTAAATAAATTAAATAAAGTAAATAAAATAATATTAATAAATAAATAATACAAATAAAATAGAATCTTTTTTAAATAATTTATTTTTTACTTTCTTATTTCTTCGTTTTCTTTTAAATGTAATGAAAACCATTTTGCTCAAGCGCGTATTCTGTTTCGCTAATTAAATTTACAAACGTAATTATTATTATCAAATTTCAATTTATAATTTTTTAAATAATTAATTTTTTACTTTTTTTTTCTTCGTTTTCATTTAAATGTAATGAAAACCATTTTGCTTAAGCGCGTATTCTGTTTCGCTAATTAAATTTACAAACGAAATTACTATTATTAAATTTCAATTTATAATTAAAATTATTAAAATGAAAATATACTCTTAATATTCTCCCTGAATTTAAATTATGTTATAAGTAAGCCACTAATTAACAATAGTAAGATTTTAGTAAAAAAAATAAATAACAAGCAAACATAATAGTAATTTTTAACAAAAATTAGTAAATATTATTACTATTGTAAATTACTAGTTTTTAGTAATTCATATTTTAGAGAGTTGACAATATTAGCGATTTAATTAAATTATTTAATTAAAAAAAAAATTAAATTAAAAAATTTAGTAATATTAAAATTATATATAAATTATCATATAATAATATAATTATAGTCTGACTCAACTGCTTTTGACTACTTCTTGGAAAATTGTAAAAATGTTAAATTAGTCTGACTGAAACTGCCTTTTTCTACTAAAAATGAACGTTCAAACGTTTTGTCTGACTAAAAATAAACTTAACTACTTAAGCGCAAAAATTCGCTTACCTGACGAAAAATGCTTATTACTACTAATAGTAAAAATACCTAAAGATTTTTGTCTGATCTATTTTGTCTTTTACTACTCATTGTTAATTGTTTTTGGAAAAATCTGACTAAAACTGATTTTTACTTCTTTTTCGAAAATTATAAAAATAAACTTATTTTGTCTGATTAGAAGTTCCTTTCACTACTAAAAATAAAAATTGCAAGTTTGCAGTTTTTAAAACAAAATGAAACTCCTGCCTTTAACGATATTTAGTTTAAAATTTTTTGTCTGACTAACGGTGACCTCAACTACTTAAACATAAAATTTTTCTTGTCTGACTAAACGTGACCTCAACTACTTAAACATAAAATTTTTCTTGTCTGACTAAACATGACCTCAACTACTTAAACATAAAATTTTTCTTGTCTGACTAAACATGACCTCAACTACTTAAACATAGAATTTTTGTCTTGACGGGATAAATAAAAATTATCATAATAATATAATATTAGTATGGTTGTAATAAAATTAAAATTGAATTAAAATAAAATATAATAAAAAATTATAAATATACTTTTAAGCAAAAAAATAAAATATAATTATAATTGTAAGCGTAAAAAAATATTTTTAAAAAATGTCAAACACAATAGATAAATAATTAATACAAGAAAAGGAAAATGTTTAATTCTTTTTGAAAAAATTAAATTAATTTTTATATTTATTTCATTATTTTGAAATATGGGAAGAGTTTGAGCCAGCACGAAATTTCTAGACAGGAACGCATGCTTCTTACATGATAATACCAAGGAGATTCCAGCTTTCTGCGTGGAACTGGCAAATACCATGGATGGTTTAGTCGTGAGGAAGAACCACAGCATTTATAATGCGTTCTTGCTTTCTATTATACTTCCGGTTTTCTTTATATCTTCCATTCGCCCCATTCACTTCCATTGCACTCCACTTGAGCTTCATTTAACTTAAAAAATTTAGATCTTATATTTTTTGTTCTTATTACTAGTTATTTTTGCTTTAATTATAATTTTTTAATATCATTAGTTGTTTTTATTTATTTTAATTTATTTTTATCTATTTTTATTTATTTAATTTTATTTTTATTTAACTATTACTAATTATTTCGAATTACTTAAATTATTATTTATTAATTATTATTAATTTCGTAAAGAGCTTAACTCTGAAAATTGTAAGAGTCATTTTCACTGTCAATTGTTATGTGAAAATGACTCTTGCGATTTTGAGAGTTAAGCTGTTTTCAAAATCTTAATTTATGATTATTTTATTTTCTATTCTTGTTATTTTTATTATTATTAATTTTAGTTTTAGGAAAAATTATTAAATAGATAATTTACAATGATGAAGAATAATATTTGGACGTTTTTCTTTGTCAATGTTACACACGCTTTAAAACTACGACAAACGCTTTTCTATAATATATAAGTTTTTTTTAATTCTCAGTGTTTCACAAACACTAATTTTATGAATCTTTTTTTTAAATATGCAAAAAACACATTTCTGTGCTTTTTTCTCATAAAAAGGGACTATTTTGCGTCTTATGAATTACGTTCTGCTATACTTTTAAGGGGAGACAGGAAATTATTTTCTGAATTGTTCAAAAAAAGTATTTTTTATTTTACTAACTGAAGTTTCGTATATACATCAGAAAATTAACATCTACCGGAATCAAAAATTTTCGAAAATAATAGGATTTATCGCGTGTCATTGTTGACAATTCTGTGATATGACACGATGATAAATCAGATTTTGGAAGAAAATCGAATTATATATTTAGAATTGAACTGTAATTGAATTTTAATTTCAATTATGATTATTATTATTTATTTATAATTTGCAGTTTAATTTATTTATAACTTCAAAATTTTATAATTATTATAAATTATTAATTTTAGAGGTTAAAATTTTTAAATGAACGAAGTAAAAAATATGTCAGTTTGATCTGACATAAAAATTGTTCATTTTTTCCCAATAAATTTGGAATCCTTTCAGTTTTGGTAAACTCAAATAGGATTAACCTAATTTCTAATTGAAAATAAAAAAAAAGGAATCAACATTTTATAGCTAATAAAGAAGCATTCGAATGGCATTTTAATTGAGTGCTTTATTTTCTTCCGTTTGAAGAATTTACGATTCCGCTTTATAAAATTTTACTGAAATATAATTATAAAAGAAAATAATTAAAATAATTCGGAAGAAAATAAGAAAATTAAATAAATTGTCATAAAATGAAAATAAATAAAAGAAAATAAAAAATTTAGGAAAAAAAATAAATAAAAGAAAATGAAAGAAAATAAAAATAAAAAAGTAAAAGAAAATAAAAAGAAAATAAAAAAGAAAGAGGAAAAAAAGCTGAAAAATTAGTAAATAAATTTTCTAAAACAATTTAAAAAAATTTTAAATGTTTGTAAAAATTTGCAATATTTCTATATAGAAAAAAGGAAAGTGTAAATATTTTTTCTTCAATTAATCTTCAAACGTGGATAATAAATAATTGCAGTTCTTTTTTATGGTAGAAGTAAAAAAGAATATATATTTGTCTCCCCTTAATGTACTTTTGTATACGCTTCAACAATAGATTTTGTAGAGATCACAATTTCTTCTACACGTCGCACCTTTACAACTTCAGCAGCAAGGAATTGGGTTTTTTTTTTAAAGGTTTGTTTGTAATAGTTTGAGACTATATATATATATACAATTTTTTTTCTTTTGGTATGAAAAATAAACCCTTAGAGTAATTTATCATTTTTTTTTCTCTTATAATATTTTTTTTTTTCTATACTCGAAATATATTGCTTGCAAGTTAAAAAAAAAATTTTTTTAGAGAAAAGGATTTTATCGGCCACGATTTACAAGAATTTTTCTAAATATTTTCTAAATATTCTAAAGATTCTAAAGATTCTAAATATTTGTAATATAAATTGTATATTATATTTTAGAAGATCATTGGCAACAAAATTACGTTTGACGAAAGGATTATATCGTATCTGTCGTCATATAATCGAAATTCCCGGTCGCAACTCACTCGCGTTAAAGAGTCAATTAAATATCGATCGATCGTAAAACCTAAGCTTCTTACTTGCCGTTTCAATCACTTTTCTTCGGAAGATATTTTTTCTTCTTTTTTCTTGACATTTTTTTTTGTCGATTTTCGTTTTTGCCATTCGATTTCGAAAGAGAAAAGAAATTTTGTCAAAAGGTTTTATTGTTAGAAATGTTTTTATTACTAAGCATTTTTTAAACAACGAATTTTTTTTCTTAAAAAATTTTGTTGGTTATTAATGTTTTTTTTACTAAGAATTATTTGATTCGTCAATTTTTTTATTGAGGATTTATTCACAAACTACTTTTTTAAAGGATTTTTTGATTTTTGATTATTTTTGTTTAGAATTATTTGACTAAATAAGTTTTCTATTCAATATTTTTTTTTTACTAATAAACTTCTTCTGTTTGACATTTTTTAATGAAGAATTTTTTTAGTTAAGAATTTTTTAATTAAAAAATGTTTAGTGTTAAATATTTGTTGTCTAATAAATTTTGTTTGTAAAGGATTCGTTGATTAACAAATTTCTATTGTTGGGAATTTTTTGATTAAAAATATTTCTGTTAAGAATTGTTTAATTAAAAAATATATTTTGTTAATGTTTTCCCAACAAAAAAATTTTGTTTATGAAGAATTCTTTTGTTAACAAATTTATTTTTGCTAGAAATGTTAAAACATAAAGAATTTTTTTCTTAAAAATTTATAGTCTAACAATTTTTCTTTGCTAAGAATTTTTTACAAATTTAATTTTTTTTTATAACAATCTTTTATCGTTGAGGATTTTCGATTGAAAAAATTCACTTGTTTCGAATTTTTTCTGAAACAAATGTCTTTTCTTAATTTTCTGACTCAAAAATTTGTTCTTTTTGGGATTTTCAGTCAAATTGTTTTTTTTTTTGTTTTTCTAACTTACTTTTTGTGTAAGGAAAACTTTTTTAAAATTATATTATAACTTTTTCAAATTGTGATAATAATTAATTTAAATCGTAAGCCATAGGGAATCATTGGAAAACGAAAATAAATATTGGAAAATAAAATAAATGAAATAAATAAAATATTCGAAAATAAATAAAGAAAATCGGAAAATATAACAATAGATAAATAAATAAATGAAATTCAATGCTGATTAAAGTTTACTATCGATAATGATTTGACGATTAAATCGACTGAATTGGAAGTAAGAAGATTAGATCGAAATGGAAATGCGTTGCGACCGGATGTAATTATAAAACTAGACCAATCTATAGACAGTATTGTATTATATATATACACGCTTAAAGTAAATTAAATCTAGAATTATTTATGTAGCACCTGAATTTACACAAACACACAAATTCCTCTCTATTTAGCGAACGAATCTTAAATTTTCTCACATTTATTATAAATCACTCTCCCTCTTTTTATATATATTATCTATCTATATCTATTTTTCCTCAACACATTTGGAATGCTAAGTAAGGCTTTTTTTGTAGATTTATTTTTATATACAATTTTTTTTTTTTTTATTATAAATATGTATAAAAAAATAACTCTTGATGTTGAATATATTGATGTTTTTTTTCTACTTCTCTTCCGGGCATGCAAATTTTCTCTATTATATATTTCATCATTTTTTTTCTGACCCTTATCTTCTCTCTATATTTAATCTTAAGAATTTTTCATTTTCTAGTGGATATATATATATATATATATATATATATATGTATTGTGGAAAACAGGGTTCCGAGGCAACGCAACGTCCAAGTTTCAACGACGTCCATTTACCAAAGAATCTATAAACTCGAGAAAACTTTTTTAAAAAAGAAGTCCTCTCGCAAAAATAATCTCAAACTATTTTTGCTGAAAAACTTTTTTTATTGTCAAAATTCCTTGGGGGAAAAATGAAATATTTTGTTTACAATTTTTAAGTTTTAAAAAAAGAAGTTTATTATTTTTTTTTAATCTTTGCCGAATTTTTTTGTAATTACAATTTTTTTAATATTCTAAATTTGGCAATCTTTAAATGAATATTTAAACAAAAAAATTTTAAATTACATGTGTTTTTGATTTTTATATCCTAAATATTTGAATAAATAATGAAAAACAATTATTTAAGTAAATGATTAAAAAAAGAAATATTTAAACAAATTAATATCTAAATATGAAATATTTTGTTATTGAAGAAATATTTAATTACTAAATACAATTTTTGCAAATTTTCTACTCGAGAAAAGTAGAATTCTGAATAAATAAAATGGAAAAATACGGAGAAAATATTTTATTTTTCTCTCTACATGACTTTTCATTTTGTTTTCTCCTTTTTTTATTTTTCGTCTCTAAATAAATTCATCGTTGCGCGGAATCCTGTTTTCTTCGCCTTCAATATAATGTCCCCCATTAAAGCCTCACTCCGCTTTTATTCCTTTAGGCACAATAGTTGTTTACTAGTTCAACTCTCAAAAGTATTCTTTATCATCTATTATTGTTAATAAAGAAAAATTTTGCTTATTCTGAAAAGCAAAAATTGATTTTTTTCGTCTTTTCTAAAAGCAAAAAATTGAATTTTTTTTCTAAGTGAAGAATTGAATTTTTTGTCTGAAAAGCAAAAAAAAAAATAGAATTATTTGCTTTTTTTTTCTTGAAAAGCAAAATAATTTTCTTTTTATTTTTTTTTCGAAAAACAAAAAGAAAAAATTAGAGAAAGTTTAGTTGGAAATATTTGAAACATGTGCGAAATGCGAATTGTTCCAGGATCTAAAGAAGCGCGCTTCCCACACCTGCGATATGCAGGTCCTACAGCCACTTCCGGTTCCCACCACCACCGGCACTGCCGCGCCTGCCATGACTACTTCCGGTGGGCAGCCACCGCTTCCGGTTTCGGAGATCGCTTGAGTCCAACTATAAGAGAATAAAACACCATCACCAATCCGCTATTGACTACCTTCTATCACCGTCCTCCTCTACTCGCCCGAATCTGTTGTCATTGGCCAACCGGCTTTTGCTTAACGGTGAGCCCAAAAAATCACCATCTTTTTAAAAATATTCCCCCCTTTACTAATTCGTATCGAATCAGAGAGAGAGAGACACAAATTCATTTTCTATCGAACCACCTTCTCGTTGAGGAATATTCCTTTCGAATTGTCTGTCGCATTTTTTTTTGTAATCGGTTCTTTTCATTTGTTTCGAAAAAAAAATCGAAGAAAAACTTTTTTTAAAAAAAAATTCAAAGAAAAAACAAAAGGGTTTTTTCTACCAAAAATACCTAGTTGGAAGTTAATTATGATTCGTTAGATTGGAGCTATTTTTATCTATTCTCCTATTTTTCGTGGAAAAATGAAGTGGAAGTGCGAAATAGTTACTGAATGCTGTGATAGCTCAGTTGATTAAGGCGCCTTATTTGTAGTATAAGACAGCGGCTAAAGGTTCGATCCCAACTGGCGATAAATATTTTTCGACACAAAATTTTTTACGACAAACTTATTACAATCGAGAAACTAATGTTTCTAATTAATTCTAACGTTGAACTAAAATTTGATTAATTATTTTAGTAGTAATTTGCTTCAGACAGTTTCGTCTGAAAATTCGGTTAGAATTGTTTTAAAAAATGACTGAAATGGTAAAAAGTTAATTGAAATTAAAGAAAAAAAAAAATAAGCAAAGGAAATTTATCGCTTTAGATGTTTAAGTGGAGGTTAAAAGGCTTTAGAAATTTATTTTTCATGTAAAGATTATTTTTCTAAAGAGAAAATCTCTTAAAAGTAAAAATTAAATATGTCGTTTCGAAATGAAGCGTTATTTCAAGTGAGTATAAAAAAAGAATTTATTAAAAGAATTTATAAAAATATTTAAACATCAATTTATATTTTAAATACTTAATTAAAATTAAAATTTTTTATTAATATTATAACATTTGAATATTATTTTAATGTTTAACTAAACATTAAAATATTAACTAATAAATTTTTTATTTTCAATATTTTTTTTCATTTAATTAATAAATTTAGTTAATATTTGTTAATTAACTGAGGCATAGATTTTAAAACAGAATTACCGTTTCGTTAATTTTTAGAAATAATTTTCTTGAATCTCGTTGTTCTTTTTTTATTACTTTTTGTTTCCTTTCTAAAACCTCAAACATTGAAAGCAATTGAACAAAGTCCTTAAATACCTTAAAATCGAACTTTAAAGATTTTGCGAAACTCTCTGAAAATTTTTTCAAAAACTAAATGCATTTCAAAAGTAATTTCTTCAGAATCACATAAAAACAATTATACTTTAAATGGCAATAAAATTTTCCCCCAACAGTTTATTCAACAAGCCGTAGTTAACAAGTCGAACACTTTACCTCCAATGAAAACTGAAACTTAATTAATTTCCAACTAAAGAAACAGATAATTGGCATTTAAACAGAATTTGCCGGCAAGGAGAAAAAAAGAGTTTATCTTCGTAAATTAAAAAGGAGAATAAATGAAAAGAATATAAGTAGAAAAAAATTTTTTCTCTTTCTTTTTCTTTTTTTTGCGAAAAGAATTCGTGAGTTTTAAGTACAAAGAATTGTTTTTTTTTCTTATCCAGTAGCCAGGCAATATAAGTGGTTGGTTTTCTTTTCATTTTGTTACTCGGCACGTCGAAAGGAATAAGCCACAACACTAAAGAATCCGTCGTGTTTGACTTTTTCTTTTTCTATTCTTTCAACTTGAAACTTTTACTAGTTTAACGGAACTAATTAAATAAAGAGTCACAAATTGGTCTAGATCCAAAAAAAGAGAAGAGGAAGTAGAGACAAAAAAAAAGAAGATTCTCGAAAGTGTCTCTAAGAGAAAAAAACATTTTTTTTCCTCAATCTTACTTTAACAGAATCTTGATAGTCAATAAAAGGATGCTTTTTATTTTTCTAACTAAAAGCATTGTTTTGTCCTGTTGGATATTTTTTTGAGAAAAGAATTTTTTACTGTCAATGAAAAGGGTTCTTTTTTTAAAAAAAAGTATATTCTTTATGCAATAAAGATGAAAATAAGGTGAAAATAATTTTGAAAAAATTTGTTAAAAGTTGAAAAAAAAGTTGAAAATAATTTTGAAAAATTAAGTTGAAAAAAGGTTGAAAATAATATGAAAGTATTAGGTTGAAAATAACGTAAAATAACTTGAAAAGAACTTAAAAGTAAGTTGAAAAAAAATGAAATATAATAATTTGAAAATAAGTTGAAAATAATTTCAAAAAAATAAGTTAAAAATAAATTGAAAATTAAATTAAATTAATAAGTTGAAAATTAGTTAAAAATTAGTTAAAAATAAAATGAAAATAATAAATTAAAAATAAGTTAATAATAAGTTAAAAATAAGTTGAAAATAATAAGTTCGAAACAAAAAATAGAAGCATCTTTTTTATTGAAAAAAAAATAAAATCTCTGGTTCGATCGAAACTTTTTTTTTTTTTTTTACTATTTTCCAATAAAAAATGAGTTTTAGTTTAGAGAGCTTTTAGCCTGATCTTGCGTCGAATTCTTGTACTATTTCAATAACATGAGTTCGCCTTTATCGGCGTTAATTAAAGTCGAATGTATTACTAGCCAAGTTGACCACTGGAACGAGTTTACCCACAGCAGGTATAAAAGGAACCTATTGTCTATTATCTCGTGAAATACTGATACTATCCACTTATCTTATGTCTATAAACCCTGAGCTTTTGTTGGCAATTTTTTTTTTTTGGTTTTCATCGCCCAAAATTGAATGCACGTTTTGCTTGTATAGTTCTATTGTTTTTTTTCAAAGTTTTTTCTTTGCCAGTGAATTTTAATTTATTTTGTCACTGATATTTATTTTGTTATTTTTATTTAGCTTTTGTACTAAAAAAAATTGACTAGTTTTGCTTCTTCACTAGCTTAAACGAACACATACTTACCTACTGTTGAGGAATCAGGGCGCATGCTAAAGGAGCTTTTACCTACAACGTATACAAGTATTGATTAGGTGAAATCGTCAATTTTGTGTAACAAATTCATTTCGTTGCCGAAAAATCCTTTTCTTCTATGAAAAAAAATTGACGTAAAAAAAATGGTTATTTATTTTTATTTTGTAGAGACAATTTTGTCTCGTTTTGAAAAATAATTACGAATTGTAAACAAAAATTGAAAAATTATTATTAATTATTTATTTGTATTAAGTGAAAAATTATTTCTAATTATTTATGAATAATTTTTCCTTATGTTACTGAATAAATAATTTATTATTATGTAGACATGTCAATATTTTAACTATTTAACAATCAAATATTATATTAATAATTACTAAACTCTAAATTTATTATTAGCTGAAAATAACTAATTTGACGGTAAAATGTTAGTCACTGCTTCAAATTAGTTATTTTTTACTAATTGCTGTAACAAACAGCTACGATTTTACTAGTAATTAGTTATTTTTAACTATAATTGAGATTTAGAGAGTAACTTTTAATTAATTAGTTATTCATATAATTAGTGATGACTAATTAATAATTTATTATTAAAGACAATTTCTTAACAATTCATTATTAATTTTCTATTAGTAACAAATGGTGGTAATTAATAGTTAATTACTTAACCAGAATTGAAAATGGCTGACTGTAACTTACTTATACTACTGAAGAATTAATAATAAAAATTATTGTGATTTGTCTGACCAAATACAACTTTTACTACTACTATATAGATTGTAATATTTTAGCGTCTGACTAAAAGAACATTTTACTACTGACGTGAAAATTTTTAATGTTCCACACGTTTCTTCCCTAGAGTTAAAATAATAACATTTTAATCAGTTTGTCTGACTAAAAACGATTTTCACCACTTAGGTCTGAATTAATAGTTTTTTTAACTTATTAAAGAATTCGAAATTAAAACTTAAATTTATTATAAAAAATAATAAATAATAATAATAATTTAGAGAAATTTAAATCCGATGTCTGACTAAAAGAATTCTTTACTACTGAAATTTTGGTTAAAAAGAAAGTGTTTATTCTTGTCCGACTAAAATTGACTTTTACTACTGATCTCCTAATTTGAAATAAAAATATTCCTCTTGCTTTAAAATACTTAATAAATGTTTACGATAATATTCACGTAACAAAATATTTTTAAAAATTACTTTTACTACTTAATATCTTCTTGTCTGACTAATCTCCACTTTGACTACTGGTAGTATTATTAGAATAGAGAATATTAGCCTCGGTTGTCAAAACTAAATTTAAATTTTTTAAATTTACTTTTTAAATTGTCTGACTAAAACTGTCTTTTACTACTTACTGTAGCTTATGGTCTAACTGAAATTTACTTTAACTACTGATATCGTTATTAGAATAAAAAATATTCCTCTTGGTTGTCAAAAGAGTATTTTTGTTAAGAAATACTTTACAAATTGTCTGACTTAAATTGTCTTCTACTACTTAATATATATTCCTGTCTGACTGGAATTTGTTTATACTACTGATATCATTATTAAACATAAATATTCCCTTTGGTATCAAAAAGATACATTACTTCAAAAAATATTTTTTTTAAATTATCCGACTCAAAGTGTCTGGCCCAAACTGACTTCTACTACTGGCACAAAATTACAGAACTTAGAATCGGTTTGTCTGACTGAAAATTCTTTTTCTACTGTCACTAATACTCAAAACCAATTCTCAATTACCACTACTGTTGGTTTTTTATTGCAATAATTAAACCACGTCTGACGAAACATTTATCCTACCACTAAAATCTATATTTGACATAATCGACAACGTTTTGGTCTGACTTAAAATAAATTTTACTACTTATAAATTTTTAAATTCTAAAA